AGACATGGACGCCGGTCCGCTGCTTGAATTCTACAAGCCTTTAACGGAATGGTTGAAGGCTGAAAATGAGAAAAATGATGAAATTATAGGATGGGATTTGAATTGGAGACCACTAGAACATAAATGGACTGCACCAGAAGCTGATCCAACACCGGCACCTGTCGGTGAGTCACGTTCGTTTGTTTGGTGTAGTATATTATTCGATTGACCCAATATTGTCTATGCGCAAATGAAGGGTGGTCGTCGTTGCGCTGCGCATGTGCGATATTTGTGTTGATAATTTTCTCACAATCCAATCCAATCCGCTCTTCTAATATAAATCAAAAATACAGTTTTTGACCTGGGCGCGACTTGCACTAATTACCGTCGGTGTCTCTTTTGATACCTTCCAATCACCTAAAAATACCTCATTAAAGCTTGGTAATGTATCAGTTTGTACTCGTTGATCTGCGCAACAGTCAAAATCGCCATCTTTGTTTATATGAGACTCATATATCTCGCGCCTGCGTGACGCGACGACCACCCCCATTTAATCATACCTGTTGTGTCCACGAAACAATCAAAACGTGTGCTGATTGGATGACGCCAATCTAACTCATAAATATAGAATGTCTGATCTCTATGATGTCAACACCATGAATAGATTTTATTAGTTAGAATTCAAAGCCAATTTGAATTTTTTTTTATATTTATCGAAACTTCCACTCCTTTAGTAGACCGACATGGTCGCGTGATTTGCGCCCTCCGCGGTGCTTCAAACCCAACACACACAACACACGAGAGGGGTCGTCTGATGCCGTTCGGCCGACGAGGGCGCCACTCACGCCTACATGTCAGGCTACTGCTTTAGTCGTACACTGTGAAAACCTTTTTTCCGTTTGTTTCATTAGACGCCGGGACCGCCACTGGATCTACGATCTGGACAACTTTCCTTGGATTCTTTGTAATTTTATATAATTTCATAGCTTAAATCATCGCCATTCTGGACTGGAAAAAGTTATTCTGAGTAGTTAAGCAGTTTTCTTTTCTGGACAGGAGGTAGTTACTCTAGACAAAAATCAATGTGCCTGACATGACACTGTGATATGTTTTATGACGGCGCTGGTTTTTGTGTAACAGAACCAATTTGCATATTGAGCGGATTGGAATGTTGTAAAAACTATGTCTACGACATTTTGTTGGAAATATATTTGGTGGATTTCGTTGAATGTTAATTTCAATACTTGATTCATATTTAATTATGTCGAAAAAATGGGGCATCTTAATTTTTTTCACTATTTTCCCATGTAGTAGTGGGAATTAATAGCATTTTGCTAAGTATACGTTTTATTAATTAAAACAATAAAACCGTTAAATAGTCGGTGGTGTTATGAGTTTATAATTTGTTGAAACAATAATGAGTTTTAGTTTGTATTTAATTGGATGATATTTGGATAATTATTAAATAGCAATACTTCAACTTTCAACTTGATGATCAGTCGACATAATGGCGTGCACAAGTACAGAATATGACGGTGAGAGAAACCTCACTTGAATTCAATAATGTTACACGTCAGAGCAAACAGATTTACAATAAATATGCTGTTGTGTTATTGGTTTGTATAGTTATTGCAATAAATACGTGCTTATTATATTAGAATGTAAATCAAAACGTTGCATGTTGTAGTTCAATTTTGAAATCTTGAAAGAAAATTGCTTGCACTTTTGCTCTATGGGGTAACAATTATTGAGAAACCTGGTAAAATGTCATCGCATATAGCATTGATAATATTTCGTATCAAAATCAACTAAATTTTTGAGATATTCAATAGTTTTGTCGCAGCTTACAATTCTAAAGTATTGATCGATTGGGTTCATGGTGTTCAGATTCTGTTATTTTTCACTCGTTATGTCGATTCTGCTACCTCGGCCCATAGTTATCATCACCTAACAGTAAAACCAAGCGTTTGGTCACACAACTATGCGTAGGTGTGAATTGTTATGTAAATACCGTAAAATCAAGTGCCGATCACTTTTAAAAAACAATCTGAACAGCCCCCCCCCCGCCCATGTAAAACTTGCAGAAGGTTATTACAATCGGCTAAGGAAATTCCATACAATCGAACATACATTGATGGACATGTTTAAATTCTTGTATTTTAATATTGTCAATAATTATTAAGGTAGCAACAGGGGAAATCCCATAGTTTAGTTAAAATGATCTGAGCAACTCAAATCAAAACATATTTATAAAAAAACTATATATTTTGTGAAAGCTGAAGTATTCGGCAATTTAATAATTCATGTTTTGTGAAGATTGTTTACATAGGGCTCATGTGACAGAGGGTTACCTTTACCCTGTCAAAATAACAAATCAAAAAGTTCTGCCCCGGCGATTTATTCATTTGATTGTTGGTTTTCAGAATAATGTCGCTTATAAAGTGTCGATGAACGTGTATATGATTATTTTTCTAATAATTATTATAAATACTAATTATTTCTTTAAAAAATAAGTCACTAATGAAGCACGGGGGTCATAAAACAAAAACAATTGCAGCAAAATTCTCCCTATTTATATTGTTTGATATCCTGACAACCCTTGGTGTTACAAGCGCGTACTGTGAGAGGAAGTACCGCCA